TACGGCAACATGGTTAGACGGAATTCGGACTATAGAATATAAAAATTCTGGATGTCAAAGGTCACGTATGGAATCTTGTTGGATCGAGTTCAAGATTTTGCATAGCACACTAGCAGATACATCAGGTTTTAAAGAAGTAAGTAGATACAATTTGCATTATTATTGTTTCATCATAAATACGATTACTTAATCTATTTAACTTAAATATTCATTTACATTTATTTTTATTGCAAGTTTGAGCAATTAAACGATAGGATATATGGAATCACTTTTAATACAAACAATATATACATTATTTTTGATGAGTTTAATTCCAAAAGAAATAGTAGAAATGGAAGATGCACATATTGTAAACGATACAATACGTCACCTGCATGGTGTCAATCTTGTGATCCCAACGAAATAACTCAAGGATGGACTAGTAAAAATAAAGATGTCGATGACTTTATTAAAGGAATACAACTTGAGGCCACTGAATATGAAGAGATTATTGAATGGATTCCATTCGATAGACTACAAAGAAAGCAAGGGTCTGAATTGGTATTCATGGCACTTTGGTTGGATGGAATACGAACGGTTCAATATAAGCATGCATTTGGAAAATGTACAAAGACACGTATACCGCTTACAGTTAATCTTAAGACATTGGGCGCACAAACAAATGTGTTAGATTTTATTGAAGAAGTAAGTAAAATTTGTCTTTATAAGAAATGAAATTCTGCTAATAATACATATATTTTGCAGTTCAAAAAATATATTCAGTTAGATGATAAAGTTGTATATGGAATAACTCAAGACCCAATAAGCGATGTATATATGATCGTGTATGATGATTATAGCTATCAAAGAAAATGGGAATACGGAAAATGTGTACATTGTGATCGATGTAACACATCACCGTCTTGGTGCCAATCATGTGATCCACTTATTTCAAGAGATACTCATATATGGACTGGTGACTATATCAATGAAGTCCAAGTCACAAATCACGTTAATTATAATCCGTATGAATGGATGCCAGTTTATAATCCATATGAATGGATGCCAGCTTATAATCCATATGAATGGATGCCAGTTTATAATCCATATGAATGGATTCCGGTTTATAATCCATATAATCTACAAATACAGGTAATTGAAGATAATATTGAAGCTGGTTATAATATTCCATACAAATTATATTGTAGAGACGAACTTCAAACATTAAATAGTTCACAAACAAACACATCGAATCTTAAAACAGACGTAAGTTGATAATTTCTAAATTTGCTACATTAAATTATATGCTAAAATATTACTCATAAACATAATCAATTATAAGTTCCATAAAGGAAATCCTATGAATGGAAAATGTGAACGTTGTAATCAATACAACACGTCTTTGGCATGGTGTCAATCATGTGGTCCTTTGAAAGAAACCCAAGAATGGACAAGTGGAAACGAAGACATCAATAATTACATTCGAAAACATCAACTAAATACCACTAAATATGAAAAGATAATCGAATGGATTCCGTTTAATGAATTATATGATCTGCAAATAGAGGAAGGATCTGAATCAATAACTACGGCAACTTGGTCGAAAGGAATACGAGTAGTTGAATGCAATACGGAAGAAGTTTATAATTTCAAACCATGTAGAGTCGAACTTCAAAAATTTGGTGGTTCACAAATAAACTCATCGGATCTTAAAATTAAAGTAAGTTAAATATTTTGTACCATAATACATAAATTATGTAGAATAACTTATTAACCAATCATTTATTTATAAGCTTGATGAATTTATAACTAAATATAAAGTATATGGACTAACACAGAATACAACTAATGAATATATGGTCGTATTTGATAAATTTACTTCTAAAAGAAATCCCGTGAATGGAAAATGTGCCTGTTGTAATCGGTACAACACATCATTGACATGGTGCCAATCGTGTGATCCTTTGAAAGAAATTGAAGGATGGACAAGTGGAAATGAAGATATCAATAATTACATTAGAAGACTCCAGCTTAATACTACAGAGTACGA